CAGCCACTTCCCTTGGACTTAACATTGTTTCTATTTCTTACCAGGACAGCAAAATCTCTCTGTGAGGTGAACAGATGCCTGCATTTTATAAAACTGGAATAATTGACTTGAAAATCTGCTGCTTCTTAACACTAATATGCTTATGATGTTTATTTCTACATTCAGCCTAAATCTCTAAATCTCTGTTTCAGCAGCAGGGGGAGGGAGAAATGATATGAAGCAAGGGAAGAAGGATGAAAGACTGAAAACAAGGAGATAAAGGAGGGCGTCGGGGAAAAAAACCCTCAACCTTTATAAAATTTACTATTACACTGCTGGAAAAGAAAAAGAAAAAAAACCCCAACCAAACCCAACTGATTCTGTCGCTGTGAACACGATCTCTCTACAGGCAGGTGTATTCTCATAATAATATTCCCAGCTATACCATCCAATTTAAATGTAACAGGCAGTACACACTAAAAAATGAGAAAAAACCCAATCTTGTACTTGGAAGATTAGCACGGGTGACACAGATGTGCAAAAAAATCATGCCTCCACCCACGATCTAAATCAGAACTGCTTCAAATAGGTCAAGCGTTGCTCATTTTAATTTAATCAAAATTACCACTTATACTCCAGTCAGCTTAAACCTAACATTAATTAAACATTTAATTTGTTGCTGGGATCTTAAATAATCTTTTAAACGTAGTATCTTCAAACATTCCGTCACACACCTTTTGTCATGAATTCAGTGACGATGTAGATTGGTTCCTCAGAAACAACGGCATATAGTGGAACAAGTTTGTCGTGTCGTAATTTCTTCATGATCTGAGCCTCCTGCAGGAAAGCTTCTGGCATCATTGTACCAGGTTTTAGTGTCTTGATCGCTACTTTTGTGGTTCCATTCCACGTTCCTAGAGAAATAAATTAGATGTTAGTCTCCCCTATAATACAGAAGAGATTTTCTGCTGAAACTGTGCTTTTTGCTTCTGTTTTGTTAGCTAACAGTATGATTATAAATTAGAACTATATTGACTATTATTTTTACTTTTATGTGACTGATTGTAATTGGTACTTTTTCTCTGCAATTCTTTATCAGATTATCTTTTCAGATCCCAATACTGATTTACTGAAAATACTATTAAAACATTCACACGAACAACTGAAAGGTGTCCACATTAAGCTCTTACCCATCCATACTTCACCAAAACATCCTTGGCCCAACTTTACTTCCAGCCTCAAGGATTCTCTAGGAATTTCCCAGGCATCCTTTGCTAGTCCCTGTGTTTGTGGTTTCACAGTGGGACACACAGTTGTTAGCTTATGACACAGCCCATCGGCATGTTCTGGAAAATGGAAAAAATAAGCTTTGTCGTTAAGCAGGGATAAGACTGTAACAAAAGTAACATCCTAATATTGATAAAAAGAACTAGTCCATTTACTGTTTGTCAAAATAAAAAAGAAATTTTATAATTGTGAATTTTAAAAATAAGCTACATACGCAGTTTTTCTTCCTCATGGTAGGCACAAGGTAGCGTTGGGACACTAGAACTTGGACTTACCTCTGTAGTGTTTCACCAACTTCTGTAGAGATTCAAATTGTGCTCTGGTTGTGATATAGTATCCACCATTGTCAAGTTTTCTGATTTTGTAGTGTTTCACATTATCACCTCTGACCTCATCCCAGTCACGTATGGAAAGGGAGTAAGCACCTAGGAAACAAGTCAAACTTGGTTCTTCACCAAAATTTAAAAACATATTTAACATATCTCCCCAACTGTCATTATACACATACATGTGTGCACATGCGTATGTAAAATGTGATAGGGCAGGGGGGAGAGAGAGAGGAGATACACATAAATATACATACCTTTAGTTGTTTCACTCTCTCTCACTAAGAAAATACCACGCTGGTTCCCAGGATTTAAAAGTAGCCTTTCTGCATCCTTCCTGCCCATCTTACCAAAATACCACCTAGAAAATGTTAAAGGAAACTTGTATAATTAAAAGCTTCCTATGCTTTGGTAATCATAGAAATACAAGATTTAGAAATCTCAAGCATTGTCTGGACTACTAATATCCCAAAGCAGTTACGGATCAACAAAAGTAATGACATCCATATAATCAAAAGATTAAGATGACCTATTTCTATATGACTCTCATTTCTATTGTTTGCAAAATACATGTAAAGAGGCCGCTATCTGCAAATACTATGTTTTTCTGATGGTTTAACAACGGACATCAACAGTACTCATCATCGAAACTAACACCTTCCTTTTGGTTAAGGAGTTCACAGGTCAAGCTGAATCAGATGACAACGAAATACTGTTAGTAGCACACTCAAAACACTGCAGCAGCCAAAACTACCTTCTCTAAGAAGTTCTGGCTACATGTTAAAACCCAGTATTTAATACAAAGTGGATGTGTACAAATATCATCAGATCACAGGTTCATTCAGGTTGGAAGGGGCCCTTGGGAGGTCTCTGGTCCAGCCTCCTGCTGCAAGCAGGGTCAGCTGTGAGATCAGACCTGGTTGTTCAGGGCGTTGTCCACTCCAGTCTTGAAAACCTTGAAGGATGGACCCTGCACAGCCAACCTGGGCAACCTGTGCCCCTGCCTGGCTGTCCTCAGGATAAAAAGGTTTCTTCTTATATCCAGCTGGAACCTCCTGTTTCAACTTCTGTTGCCTCCCGTCCTTCTGTACCTCAGTAGAGGGAGCACTTTTTTTTCTACTCATCATTTAGAAACAACCCTGTGGTAGGTATCATTCATCTCTGAGTAACACTCCATCTTTGTTGCATCATTCTGATACTGAAAGTACGCAGACGTTTTAAAACCCCTGCATTTTTTCTTTCCTTAAGTTCTTTCACAAAAGGAGTTTCTTCTTCTGTGTTCCCAAAGTGTGCTCATCCTGATGAACAGCCTGCACACAGCTCTGTCCTGAGCCAGTGATAATTTTAACGTCCATCTCCCAGTGAATCCCCAGACTTTAGAATAACACTTATTTCTAACTATATTTTATTTTGATTGTGTACCTCAGAAGTCACAAAATAATGCAAAGTGTAAATTTCAAACATTTTCATTTGGGACTGTCATAGCATCAAGGAAATCTGGCTTCATGAGTGTTGGGAGAAGAAAAGTAGTATTGGAAACTGCTGCAAAACAATGGTTTTGTGGGTGAAAAATTTTGTGGGGGAAAAATGTAGGTAAGAAGGGATCATTTTGTTGGCTTGTGAACAGAATGGCCTGTGTGATCACTTGGGAATCTGAAACTTATTCTTACTCTTTATTGTATTTACAGTTTGACTGTTTACGTAGATGTGCAAGGTTAGAATTGGGTATCAGAGTACATACGCTTGAGACAATTCGGATGTAACCTATAATCTTACCGAAGCAAACTTGAAGCCTAGTAATTACTTCACATGAAAATGCCTCCTCCCCAGACTACTAAGACAATTTGCAAACTATATTGTAAAGTGTTAGTTTATTTCATCACCTATAAAATAATTGTAGGGTTTACCGGTTTTTGATTTTTTTTTATGAGCTTTAAACATTTATATTATGACATCGTTCAAAAGCCACATGGATAATATGGATCCTGCCACAAGCAGTTTTTGACATAAATGCCTTTGGGCTTAGAAAAGAGCACTTAAAGAAAACCCTAGCAATCTGGGGCTGTGTATTGCTTTTGCACTTGTAACTCCAGCTGCAATCATAACACAAGATCTACAAACACTATCAAAGCCCAGGGCTAACAAATGAACTCTAAAGCAAATGAACTCTATTCCAAATGCTGTGGTGATATTTAATAAAATTAGCACTAGTTCTTTAAAATAGTCAGTTTAAAAAAGCTTCCTCACTCATCACCCCTCACTCTCACCTCTAGTCATCACATAAACCTATCACAAATCCCACCACCCCATTCTGCCTGTCTTTAGGAGCAACACTTTCTGTGCAGAAACACTGCACTCGTAGTTTGCAAAGGGCTATCATTTCCATTTTACCACCACTGCTGTTGTAATGACAATATGCTTTTATTGCATAGTTTAAAAAAAAACAAACAACTTTTTTTCAAAAAATCTCAAGTCAATAATTTTAGAAGCAGCTGAAACTCAAGGGCATAAAATAACAGCGCGTCTTTGATGCAATCACTTTTCAATAGCAAAGAGCCAGGTGAGAGCAGCAGCAACATGCTAAAGTCTCAGCTTGAGATTCAGGAAACATCTTGGAAATCGGGCACTTTTCCCAGAAGTGCAGTAGCAAACACAGAAGTGCCCAGATCATGCATCAGGGAATCGCTTATTGGCAGTACCACGCCTGCATATTGAAGCAAGAGCTGCAGAGCTTTGTATTTCTAGTACAACAAATACAATTAATCCTTTGGAACAAGTATCACCTGAAACTGTACCCCAGCTCACAGTTCCCACAATAACTTTATGTGATTCTGTAAGCGCGCTGGGATCTTTGTTTGTAAATAAAGATCTATTAATCTAGATTAATAGATTAGCAATAACTGTCCACACAAATGTTTTTTAGAATGTAAGATTAGGTGCTACCAAGGATATAGCTGATCTTGAATTAGCGTTTGGCAACATTAAGGATAAAAACCTAGAGTTGATGGTGTGTGAACTCTAACTAAAACACATCCATTTTTGCTTTATATGAAATACAATGCCTGTCCCTCAATTCTTACCTTCATTATTGCATCCTCCCATCCTTTTTCCTTTAGCCCTACATATAGCAAGCAGGCATAAAACATTTGCATGAGCGTCCACCTCGCACTTACTAATAATTATACCTTTGACATCATCCAAGTAGCACTGCTATCTTTTAATTAGTATTAATTAGTATTAATTAGCATATTAATTAGTATATTAATTAGTATCCTACTTTACCCTTAAATGTTACCTATACTGAATTAAGGGAATAGTTTCACCACAGGGCACAAAGTGTAGAGTGGCTAATAAGAACAGATTGACAGGATACAATGTCTTACTCTTCTGCTTGAATGGAGTCTGCAGGAGCTACATAATTGCTTGGGATGTAGCCCGTTTTTCCCGTAGCAATGGATCTTGCTTCCCACCAGTCTCCTTCCCTGCAATGAGACATCAGTTATCTCTTCCACGTATATACATCATTCCCTAGCACCTGTAACATCCTCACATATGAAAGGCAGGTTAAATTTAGGTAAGGTGTTATTTTAATTACGAAGGCATCTAAAATAGTTTGTGCTGCACCTAAATATATTTTTCTTTTCCTTGTAAACAACACGAGTGCCTCTTAGTGGAGTTTTGCATTTTAAAGATTTGGGCCTTGTTGTTTGGTTTTTTTTTTTCCTTTTTTTAAATGTAAAAGGAATTTATCAACGTGTGCAAAATGCAAACCTACAACAAAACGTTTTATGGCAGAGATGTGTAAATAAACTTCCCAGTTCTCTAGTCTTCATCTGCCTCTCCCAGATCATTCTGCCTGTATGCTGACAGCGAGCAACAAAGGAAGCAGGAAGTCAGCTAATAAAATTAGAGAACTGGACGAATGAAAAAACTGCTACATGTATGAATTAGAACTATTACCGCAGCCAAAAGCTGCGTGTAAAGAAATCTCCAAGGTGAGCAAATTACTTCCTTTTCACTAGGCTCCTAGAAAGCAGGCTGTAATACTGTAATGCTGCTGCAATTGAACTAGAACATCAAACTACGCATAAACTATCTGAGCATGGATTTACTGTGGAGGCCAGCTAGATGCACTTCCATGGCAAGATGTCCCTGCCGGCAGCGCACGCCTCCGGCACGTGCAGTGCTGCCGGCTGCGCCCACCTCCCCGTGAGATATGGAAACCTGTCAGAGAGAATCTGCAAGGTGCAGAGCCTGGGTGGGACAGTATGTGTTTCCACCTCCGCTGCCCCGAAGGGGGTAGCTGTGCCTCACCGGAGCAGGGTGTGGAAGGATGCCACCCAACCAACTGAGGAGGAGAGGCTTGGGGCTGCCCTGGTCACTGCAGTTCTGCATGTGCACCCAAACCCTGACCTCAGCCTGAAGGTTATTGTCTTACCAATACCAATATTTTAACCCCACGCTTGTTGAACATTACAGGCATTCAATAAAAAAATAAATTAAAAAAAAAAAAAAATCAGTCTACTTTTCACTGAAATAGGATACACAGATTTCAAGAAGGGTTGAGGATCTATTTATTCCCAACAACCACCAAGTGAAGTCTGTGCATGAGAACACTTACGTGTTATTTATTATCTGGAACCGTTCACCTTTCTTAAATGAAAGGTCATCTGTAGTTCTAGCTTCATAATCATATAAGGCCACAAATACAGTAACACCACCTTAGGAAAAAGAAAAAAAACCACATATGATATAGCAGTAACGTTGCAACACTTGATTTAAGGACTTGTCCCTGAAACAACTCATCAATTTTGATTTGGAAGCAACTGAACACTCTGGGTTGCATTTCATATTGGAAGCTGGATCAATAATCAGCTCATTTCTTAAGACAGAGGAAAGCCTATAAACAGACACCCTAAAAATATGCTTCCACACCACAAAAGGCAGCTAGATACATCACTGGAAGTACATTAATAATTAGAGCACTTATATACAGAAACCTGCACAACACATCAGCAGTAAAAAAAGTTAGCTTCTTTATTAGTTAGCTTCTTGTTAAGAAATGCAATTCTAGAAGATCCTACAACTCCACAACGGTGAACCATCAGCCACTGATTTTTACAGAAGTAGTTTCCTATTGAACTTAGCTATAACTAACTGATGTGTTCCCAACTTTCTGGGGTTACACATCAAGATCTACTCAAGGAATTGAACCAGAAATAAAAGTATTCTGTTGGGGACAAAGACATTTCTCTGCATTAGGACTAATGATTTTTTTAATTCCATCAAGTCTCCCCATCAGTGAGGCTAGACCCTTGCTAAGGATGATCCATCAGTGCGTTACTCTAGAGAACAAGGACCGAGATATGTCACAGGATGAGCAGCTGCACTCCACTGACCCTAAGGAATTTGCTTCCCCATCCCAATTCTGGTATAGGGCACGTTACCGAACATGTCTGTCCTGGTTTCGGCTGGGATAGAGATAATTTTCTTCCTAGTAGCTGGTACAGTGCTGTGTTTTGGATTTAGCATGAGAATAATGTGATAACACACCGATGTTTTAGTTGTTGCTAAGCGGTGTTTATACTAAGTCACGGACTTTTCAGTTTCCCATGCTCTGCCAGAGAGGAGGGGTACAAGAAGCTGGGAGGGGGCACAGCCAGGACAGCTGACCCAAACTGGCCAAAGGGATATTCCATACCATATGATGTCATGCTCAGTATATAAACTGGGGGGAGTTGGCCGGGGGTGGCGATCGCTGCTCAGGGACTGACTGGGCGTCGGTCGATGGGCGGTGAGCAGTTGCATCACCTCTTGGTTTTTGTCTGTTTTTTTTTCTTCCCTGGGTTTTGTCCTCCCTCTCCCTCCCCTTCCAATTTATTATTGTTATTATTGTTGTTGTTCTTGGTATTACTATTTTATTATTTCCAGTATTAAACTGTTCTTATCTCGACCCACAAGTTTTCTTACTTTTGCTCTGCCGATTCTCTCCCCCATCCCACCAGGCAGGGGAGGGTGAGTGAGCGGCTGTGTGGTGCTCAGTTGCCAACTGGGGTTAAACCACAACAATGTCCCACAAACAGGATACATGTGTGAGAGACGGATGGTAGGGAGGCTCCTATACTTATGGTAGGAAAACTTTTTCTATGCTTAAAAGAACTAACCTATAAAACTGGGCTAAAAGAGAAAGAGGGAAAGGAGAACAGGCTACATGAGATGTACAAGCTACGAGCAAAAATAAAGAACTATGTACCATAACGAGGAGAAAGTTAAAATAGAAAACTGCTGATGGGCAAGTCAGAAAGACTTTTCAAGCTCTAGAAATGCTATTTCACAGTCTAATGGACATTTAGGAAGCCTAATGATAGTCCAAGCAATAACTTATTTTTAAATGTATAATATTACATCTCTAACATGCACATATATATACCAGGATATACATAGAAGACCACCAACAGAAACACGTTGCATCTAATTTTAGATCTTACAATTAACATGACAGTGATCAGAAAGGAAGAATACATAATGCAATGGGTATTGTCTACATCTAATATTCTTTTGCAATGTACACTTTCTGACGTAAGAGCTCATAATCACTTAAATATTTTCATTTGATTTAGAGTTTTCCTGTGATTACAGTCTCTCAGCAGGCCTCAGCTGGAAATGAATTTACAGTTCCTCTAGCAAAAACAGAACAAAAAATCCCCACAGGAGATTAGAGTAATTGAGGCGTTTTTTTGAAGTGTGATTTATGAACTGAAAAATGAATTAGAATATTCCCTAGAAGTTAACAGTTCCTAATCTAAGTTAAAAATCAACACAGTTCTACCAGTATTTGCCTGCGTTACTACATTACTGCATTATTTTGATGACACAAACTGCTACATGGGGCAAGAAAATTGTGGGGATACATACCATATTCACACAAACAGAAACCAAATGTTATGGAAATAAACCATCCCCAGAGTGTTCTTCAGCAGATGAAGAAAATCAGTACTCTCAAGTCACAATATCATGAAAGTTTTTAACTGCACATAAAGAAACTGGGAGACTCCAAGAACTTTGAAACAAACTGTACAACATCTAGAAAGATACTAACATGGGAACAAGAGAGAGTAATTCTTCTAGACAGCGTAGCACTAGTCAAAGTAATGGATTCAAATGTAAACTGTGCAATAAGAGAATTATCAGTAATTATCAATATTTGTGTACTCTTAATTATTTTTAAAGAAAGAGTTGGAAAAGGTAACATATAATCCTTGGAAAGTTTTGATTTCAACACTTCAGCTACCACAAAACCTCTTTTTATTCTCACTCACAAGTGTTATTTATTTCATAGCAAAGAATAATAAAATACTTAAGGAGAACAGCATCAGCACCGAATGTTTTAAACACACAGATACCGCTCAAATGATTTTTGACGTCTCTTGCAGCTGTTTTCTTTGTGAATTACTGCAAGGTGATCTAGTTTAGCTGTTCAAACTATTTGTAGTCATAACATTTCCCTTAAAGGTTATCCTTTCATTAGGTCCGTATTCCCATCCTCTAATCTAGAACTGGTTTTGGAGAAAAGACTTTACTTTCTTGTTCAGCATGAGAATTACAGAGCACTAGTGCTTACACAGCTTCATGGAAGGCAAAAACAGTGGTCCATTTTTCTGTTTTGATTTTCAGTAATATTCTATGAATTCAAAGTATCTGATGACCGAGAACGTGTAATAGAGGAGCAGTGTGACTAACTCGGATTTCTTCTCCTTTTCTGCTCTAGAGGAATAAAAGACGGCTCAACTCTTTTCAGCCTCACTACAGGCCATGATGACAACCATATCATCCTCTTGTCAGACATCACTGATGGACTGGATAAGCACTACTGACACTTGTGTCCTGTTTGACAAGCCCATCTATTCTCCTCTCTTGTGAAACAAAGGGCCACAGAATGCAATCCAGCCCTCTTGCGAAACAAAGGGCCACAGAATGCAATCCAGCTTTATTCATCACAAATACAAAAAGCTTACAGCCAGATGAAGTTCGTCATCTTATTCATTCACAAAAACACCCAATTTTGATTGATCTGAAAATCGATACTGAATGTACCAACCCACTGCCAGTGCAATTTTTTTTATTTATTGATTTTTAAAGTGTGTTTGTTTGTGGATGGGCTGGCTTTACAAAACGAGGAGGAATAATTACATATGCAGTATCATTTTACCTGATCGCAAAACGATGGGAGCGTTCACCCAAAATCAGCCTGCCTGCTGATAACTGAATTCACACTGATGAGATATTAGACTATCTTTTCATGAGAAATCTCTCCTCTTGACTCTGGTCCAAGATATAACATGCTTAACTACCAGCAGGAACAGGGACAGGCAAGAGAACATTCCTTTTGGTCTCTGCAGCAAAGGATTTGTGGTACCTGACGGTGGGCTACACCCCTGATGTCTGGTAATACCCAGGAGTGCCTGCACACGCTGCTGGAGATTTCCATGTGAACAAAGAACCTGATCTAGTACGAAGAAATACAGAGGTTCTTGGAGGAGATGAAACACGATAAACTTTCCTCAGTGGAGCTAATGAATAAAAAGAAATGATGCCCTTATTTCATTTCTGCATATGTTCATCCAAAACAGGGATTCAGAGCTGACTCGAAAATTTTGAGACAGGACAGATGCTCATTTTAATTATTTGGTTTTTAATGAATTCCCAGAAAGGGAATACAAGGTGATCATTACCTGACAATTCATATTTGGTTTCCTGAATTGCTTAGTGTCAAGGTCACAGTGGCTTTTCATGAATCTCAAATTTCTTGTGTTTAAAAGATTTTAAATGCCACTGTAATGAAGCAAACATTTAAGCGCTGTAACTGTGCTAACATTAGAGGTTTGTGGGAAAACTAGAAATAGACCAATAAGGAATTATTTACCATGTTTTGTGAAGTGTCTGTGCAAAGCTTCTAGAATAAATTACTCTTTCCTCTCTCAAAAAAAGAATAAATTACAGCTTCTTCTCAAAAATATCCAGCAAACCTACTGAAATTAGCCATGTACATAAAATCAATATTTTTGTAATGAAGTTTTAAGATCTTGATATAAAAGTGGGTTTATAACATCAAATGTGCATGTTGCTTTCAAATGTGCATGTTGCTTTAAAATGCTGTATCTTCAGAGACTTTATATCTCAGCCAAGAAGGTCTCTGCACCTTGTAAATTATTTTTTTACATTTTCAAATTTGGTTTTAATATGACCACCAACAATGAGAATTCTACTCTTTCGTTTCACACATATTGTTCATATAGTAAAGTACACAGAATATACTGCATATCCTGTTTAGCTTTATAAATGAACAGATTCAATGTTGCATTAATAAGTAACTTACAGCTAATCAAATAAATCTGAAAATCAGTTTAAGATATCAATTTCCTGAATTTGAAGTGTTTTTCATTTTGCACCTCTCTCCAAAAGTTTAAAGCCATTATCCCACGTGCCTCTCTTCAACAGCTTAGAACTTCTAACACAATTTTATCAACTATTGTCATTACTGTCTTTAGTAGGTCTTAAATTTCTCTGTGCTGTGATCCTAAAAAACGCCCCCAAAACCAAAAGCCAAAACACCCAACCCCCAAGCCCCAGTCACTAGTGAATATGGGCTGAATTATCACCTGAGCAGTAAAGATACTGAAAATCAGAAATCCCTAAAAGGCAATTTATTTTAAATTTGCAATTTACTTCTGTGTGGCAAGGGGTCACGGTATTTTTTTCGAATATGACTGTCAAGCTTTAATAAATAATAATAATAGCACCGTTTTATGCAACACACCTGTTAAAGTACTAGGATATGGACTTGGCACAGCTGAAAATGAAGATGATGCTCCTCCAAAGGGTGTCATTCCTGAGGGCCCTCCAAAAGGAGTCATGGAATGACTATTAAAATTAACTGCTGATCCCTTTATTGACGGTGACTGTGTTGCTTGGCTGGAGTCTGATCCGTAATGGCTGACGTGGGAAATAACAGGTTCTGGAGTATTATCAGTTCTGTATTTCATGGCTGGACCTTTATCTTCTTTGCTTTTAATGCACCCCATGGTTGCTTCTGTGAGAATGAGAGGAAAAAAAAGAGTTCATCTCCATGTTGCATCTTTTGATAGTTAACACAGAAGATTCCCAAAAAGTTACCAAAAATGCTGATTTATTACTGTTTAAAAAAACCAAAACAACCCCCCAGCAATTTGCTACCACATGCAGACTATAAACTCCAATGAAAAAGTGCTCTGGAATAAAATCTAAGCCACTCCCAGACTAGAGAAGACCTAATTATTTTCCCTTACAACAACACATACTAACAGCACATTTGGATTATTCTTCATCCCAGTTCCTTGGTGGACTGTAAATGGTAAAAAAGAAAAAAGGGGGGGGGGGAAGAGGGAATCAGGCAACAGACAAGGAAAAGACACTGAAGACTTCTATAGCGAAGAGGAAATCAGGCAACAGGCAAGGAAAAGACACTGAAGACTTCTATAGCAGGGTGGAAGGGGAAATAGATGTGACAAATCCAGAGTCAGTTATACAAAGCAAATCCAAAGCAATTATACAAAGAAAATGAGCGGGGCATTCCTGCTTTCTTTTTTAAGCACCTGTGCAATAAGGTCCTGACCAGCTGGTGGTATTACAACTAATATCTTTAAAGATGTAGAGAACTTTTCATCCATCGCCAGCCCCCCAAATACAACTCTCAAACAAAGCTAGGATATTCACGGCCACAGGATAGGGTTAAGCTCTAGAGTCTAGCTAGAATTAGAAACAATTTAGAAGGGTAATTACAACATCCATAGTAGTTTAGAAACTGAACTGCACCTGGACAGGTGACAATTTATAGCCCTGACCGCCCAAGATTACCACCAATTCCCACTACAGGCAGACTGTGCCAGAGCCACAGGGACACCTATTACCTGCTGATGGAGGTAATGCGAGAGGAGACATGTCACCAACAGTTAAAATGACTGCATCTTAAGAAGTCACCACCTGCCATTTATCAGGTTGTGACAACTGATAGCAGGCATTTTCTGGCTTACCCCAGCTGGGAAACAAATCAGGAAGAAAAGAGGAGTCTCTATTAGATGCAGCACTAGTCTGGCATGAAAATTCCTGTATTCTTGGGCAGGGGGGAAGTTAAAAATCTACTTTAACTACAAAAGTAGAAACCTCCACAAAAATAGGAAATCAACTGCTCCACATTCTCTAATGAATCAGTTAAAAAAAAAAAATTAACAGTAGCAGCCTGAAAGCATTAAAAATACGTCTTTTGATAACTACCACAAGAATTTCATGGACTCTAACTACCAATTAGGGAAACACAATGTTTCCCATTGTGCGTCTAACTATTTTTTTTCCTTTTCAACTCTCTCTTACCTTGTTAACTATTACATGCAGAAATATGGAACAAAGTAAATCTTTCTAAACAAACACTGCCTTAATATAGTCACACTGAGAGAAACTAATTCCCTCTGTATAACTAACCATTACTATATTAAAGATACTGTAATTTCCTCAAGAACCATGAATCAGAGCTCCTGGAAAGAAGAAGGTCCATAGCCGGTGAAACACCATATGAAATTTACTGCTTATAAAAATAAAGAATATTCACCCTGTCAATTCAGCCCCTAATGCTGTAATGTAGGACAATTACTGGTGCAAAAACAAGCAGCAAAGCCAAATAACTGCATTTTTACAAATCTCGTCTGAGAGTTTTACACTGAATAATGAATCATCACAAAAGCACACCTTACCCCTTTTTTTTTTTTTTTTTTTTTTTTTTTTTTCTTATTGCCAACTTATTAATTGTGGACGAACGTTAATAGAGCAAGACTCAAATACATGCATGAAGAATCTAATGTGTCTAAATACCTTACAAAAGATGCCTTACAATCTACAGTAGAAAAGCCAGTTATTAATTAATGATACAAATCAATCAAACACCCAATCACATCCTTTTAATTTCTCTACCACTACAAATAGACACTGTAATGTGAACCACTTTTTTTTGGCCATGTGGCTGCCTATTGTGAATTCTTGCCTTACTCTGAGGCCTATTTCTTTGATTCTCTTTAAAAAACTGCAATCAAAGTTTTCTGCTAGCACTGAATAGAAGTCCAATCACCTTTGCAAAACTGTCTTTGCTAATAGCACTGATTCCCTGCCTTCGGTTGAAAGTTAAGCATCTGTCCTGGTTTCGGCAGGGATAGAGTTAATTTCCTTCCTAGTAGCTGGTACAGGGCTGTGCTTTGGATTTAGTATGAGAACAATGTTGATAACACACCGATGTTTTAGTTGTTGCTAGGTAATGCTTACACTGGCCAAGGACTTTTCACCTTCCCATGCTCTACCGACTGAGAAGGCTGGAGGTGCACAAGAAGCTGGGAGGGGGCACAGCCAGGACAGCTGACCCAAG